CTTCCTTGTCCTGGAGGTTCCCGCCTTACTCGTTTGCTTTGCGTGGGGGTGGAGGGGTGGGGAATGCAGCACATTGGCTTTCACGACCCCTGCACAGCCGCTCCCTCCAAGCGCCCCCTCCCCGGCTTTGAGGAACCTGCACTGGGGACCTGCAAGAACCGCCACCTCCAAAACCATCAGAGGAAACTCAGGAAGGTATTTCCTCCGGTTGCCTCCAGCTGGTCGTCCACCTAATCACACACAGTCTTCAGGTGTGTTCTCTGCCGACAGTAACAGGCGCTGCACAGGGACAGCAGTGGGGTGATTCGGCAGAGAGCAAGGGGCTGTGACCCTTGGCCCAGCTGAGAAGAGCAGGCTGGGTGGGAATATTACCAAGTCTGAGACTGGGGCAGAGCTGGTGAGGGGGGACTTGGTGGGCGTGCTGGTCCTCAGTGCTAGGGAGTGCTTAACTCTTTCCAGGGCGCAGCTGATGGCCCCTGCCCACCTTCCACCCAAGGCCAGCACTGCCCTGCAGCAGCCAGGCTGGTGTTCAGCGGCTCCAGCACCCACTCAGCCAACTGGGACCCTTCGGCTCTTGGTGTGGCTGGGATTGAGAGAGCGAAGCCCCACCGATCCAAGCAGGTCGGGCCATCGATGGCATCCGAGCCCCTGGCAGGACACAAACTCTGGACCCTGCCCTGAGCCGCGCCATCCTCCCCGGCTTCTTAGGTTTGAGCCCAAGGTTGCCCCCGCTGAGCCTGTTGGGTTTTCCGGAGTGGCTTCACATCATGAAAGAACGCACGCCGAAGCTCGTGGTATAACTCAAGTGGGTTTTGATGAAGGTCAGGACACGTTTCAGGTCTTGCAGTCTCAAAGGGGGTCACAACTGGGCCCGAACAACCACCCGCACGTGTGGATCTTGGGGGGATCCCAGGAGGCCAGAAGCCCAAGAACCCTAGAGGCCGAGAGTATGTGAACCAAGAGGCCGTGGGACCCGAGAAGTCCCAGAGTGGCCACATGTGCGCCCGCATGGGGGAGGGAGATCTCTAACCAGGAGCGGGGTAAGAGAGCATCCCAGAGCTTGCTCCCTGCCTTTATTCTAGCCACAGCCCTGGAGGGGGAAGGCTTGTTGACAGTATTGATTGACCCCGTTGGCTGAGTTAGGCCCACCTGGGTGATGTCATGAGCCTGGGCCTAGTTTGGCCATCCAGGTGAACCTCCCACCTGGCTTAGGGAGTGAGTACGAGCATAATCAGTTTGGGGTCATCATAGGTGTCTAATGTCATAAATCTAATGTCTTTCCAACCCCCTTTATGAGACCCTTTGCAAGCATGGGAGGGACAGTCCCTGTCTCTAAGCTAGCTACCTAAGATGTCCATCCATCTCCTTCATGATCTTCCTCTTTTTTGTGAACTCTGCACTTTACCAAGCACGTTGTCCTTCTCCAAGGACCAGGGCTGGCCTCTCCTCAAGGAGCCCTGGTGGTGTAGTGAACACGCGCTGGGCTGCGAACTACCAGGTCAGCAGTTTGAACCCACCAGCCGCTCCAAGGGTGAAAGACGGGGCTTTTCTACTCCCGTAACGGACTGTCATCTCAGAACCCACAGGGGCGGTTCTGCCCTGTGCTAAGAACCTGAACCGGCCGCCCGATGGCAGTGAGTGTGGCTTTGGTCTTGATCAGGTGCAGCGGCCGCAGCGGCAGCTCTGGAAACGTGCGTTGGTGTGGCAGCTGCATCCTTTTCGGCAGCTTCATAAGGATCTGAGCAGAAAGCTCTCCTGTCTCCCTTCAGAGGACACCCTTTCTGGAGGGGACCGGGGACTCTTGCTGGAAAACACACCATCACAAACACAGCTGAGCTGAGCACATGGGCTCTGGATGCGGGAGGCCTGATCTGCTGTCATCCCCCTGGTTTCCGCCGCTCCCCCTCTGTCTGCTGGGCTCCGAGTCTGACGAGCAGCTTGGTTTGTGTGAGGGAAAGAATGGGCACAGGCAAAGCCACCGCTGAAATGTGGGCCTTGAGCTACGTGATGTCCCCTAGAAAGGGCCGCGTGAGCCACTCGCAGTGGGCTGGTTTGCCTGGACATCCTCAGGCGAAGGCCGGGCCCCAGGGAATGGAGCTGTTTTCCACATCACTGCGGGGGCACGTTCACCTCAGTCTCCCAGAAGCCACCGTGGTGCAGATCTCAGGCCTAGCAGCGGACCCTGGCCACCACGGGGATGCAGCTGAGTCCGCCGACAGGGAAACACGGTCTAAACGGAGCCTGGGAGCCCATGGGGCAGCTCCCATCTGTCTATGGGGCCCATAGGGGTCAGAATCCATCAAAAGGGGGAAAGTTTTTGAGTTTGGCATCTACCTATACACCCACCTGTACAAAGAACAGACATGTGTGAATAAGGAACATTAAGTTGTTTTTTTATTACAATTGCTGCATGTTTGTACTGTTTCTGCCCCGTTTACCATCAGTGACCTCACCATCCAGTTCCTCTCAGCATCGTCCCCTGCCTTGGCCATGCTCTGCTGACCGCTCCACAGTAGGCATTGCCTCTCCCTTCCTCAGACGTCACACCTGTCTCCTCGCTGGTCAGGGAGAGTGGATCTTTATATGTATATTTATATCTATGTGAGTGTCGGGTCAGCATCTGACCCCCTCACTGCAAGGTTGGCGGTTCAAACCCACCAGCCACTCCTCAGGAGAAAGACGAGGCTATCTACTCCCCTGAAGATTCCCAGGCTCAGAAATCCTACGTAGGGACGTTACGAGCTAGAGTGGGCTTGGTGGCAGCAAGTCTGGTTTTTGAGTGTTATCGCTAACAGAGAACACATTAGGCCAAGCCATGCAAACATCTGAGGCATGATCAAAGACCATACAGGGGTTCAGAAAAAGTAAAATCGAAACAGAAAACAGAACCCTTTACATTAATACAACCTCGTTAGCAACACAAGGAGAGGCATTCCCAAATGGGACTTTAGCCACAGGGACCGGAAACTAGGATGTACAAGACACATGTGGGGGTGGGGGTTGGGTGGAAGGGGGGGTGGCTTAGCGGGAGTCAAGCCATACCCAGGGATAATAAAATGTTCACTATCGTAAATATTATCCAAGTCCAAATATCAAGGGTCTAGAAAAAACTGCTATTTCTTCTCCATATTGATTTCAGATAGAGCCATGTGATGAAAATATGCGGGCTGGTAGCAGTTTCACAGGACGGAGCAGAAGGGCCCATGGGGTTTCTCAGGCTGAAAGTCTTCTTGGAAGCAGACAGTCTCATATTGGCCCCTCAAAGCCTCTGCTAGGTGTGAACCGCCCACCTTTTGGCTAGTAGCCTACTGCCTAACGACTCTGGCACCAGGGCACCTCCCATAAATCACTGCAAATATGCCCTTAATTCTGTTGACGTCAAACGCCGCACTGCGGAGACGGTAGCCATGAGCTTTCTTCTCATAAGTAAATGGACAAGACTCTTCTAATTCCTAAGTATATTTTAGGGGGGTTGTTTTGTTTTGTTTTATTTGCTGTTGCGGTGGTGGTTTGTTGGGTTACCACCAAAAATAACAGCCGTGAGTTTTATTGACCTGAGAGGTAGCACCGCTTAATCGATGGGAGCAATCAATTACGCAGCCCGCAGCCCCAGTGGACCCCCAGCGCAAGGCGGGTATTTGAGGAAACGTGTAACTCTGCGTTTAGTACGCACGCTCAGAGCATACAAAGGGCTCCTGCCGTGTCCCTCTTATTGATTCTCTGCCTCCATTTTCCCACCTGGCCATGATAACCTCCCCCTTCCAGTTCATGAAATCTCTCCCAAAATCAACGCTGTGAAGATAAAACGTTTGCTCAAAAGCATCGTACGTTCCACATGACCTACGCAATAAAGTCCAACTTCTTTAGCCTGCCGTCCAATGGGCGTTTCCAGAAGCTTCTTCCGATGACCACTTGTAGAAGAGACCTGGCGGTGCCCTCAGGTAAAGGTTGAGCTGCTAACTGTATGGTCAGCAGTTCTAACCCAGCAGCCGCTCCACACGAGAGGGTGCAGACTGTCCTGCGCCGGTAGAAATGGACACCCTCAGACACCCTGTGGAGGGTCCCAGGAAGGTGGGATCCAATTGATGGAAATGAACTGGTTCTGGGATCGGGCGGGTGCCATGACTCAACACAAAACGGAATGGTCTGCAGGATACTCAGCCAGCAGACACACGTCCACAAAGGTACGGGGTGACGTTTTCTGCCCGGGGGAGCATCTCCTTGTCAGTGTCTGAGGTGCCCCACGTGAAAAACTACAAAGTGGCGGCAATCCGTCCTGCGTCCCTGCGTCCGTGATGGAGAGGACGTTGCCAGAGGTGGCGAGTTGTGTGGACAAGGTTTGCGTTGCACGGATTTCAGTCTTGCTCCTTGCCATGAGAGCACCAGGGCACGGTGGTGCCCAGCCGCCTCTGCTGAGCGCTTTGATCAAAGATTCCACAGAAGAATCCTGATCAAACGGAAGGGGAAGCGCAGAGGGGAATTTCCGAGTCCCATGGATTCCAGACATTTTAAAGCCATTGAGGCCACTTGGAGCCCTGAAAATATTGCCCCGGGCTCATCTTTACACCACAAACCAAAATATCCCCTGGAGTCTTCTTAAACCAAACAGAGAACCACACCTCCTGCCGCTGCACGAATCCCAAGTCATGGGACCCCACGTCAGGCAGAGTAGAGCTGCCCCTTAGGGACTCTGAGACTGCACGTTTTCATGGCAGTAGAGAGCCTCATCTTTCCCCCAGGAAGCTGCTGGCGGAGTCAAACCGCTGGCCCTGCAGTTAGCACCCAACTTGTTCATTACTCACTGGTTCCCTGGGGGCCCTTGGTCAGGGAGAATGTCTCGAGCATTGCCCTCTTTTAAAGCACTCCTTCAATGGGTTCCAGTGGATCACAAGATCAGACGTCTGGGTGGGAAGTGTGTTTGCACAGTTGAAGAAAGCCGCCCACGTCCCTGAGCATACGTGTGGGGATTGTTGGGTTTAGGTGTTTTCTGCTGTGTCTATTTTCAACAGTACGAGGGAGTACCCCCCAAAATGGAATTTTTTTTCAAAGCTATGTATTTAAATTGGGGGGGGTGTCGCAGGGGTCAGCACATCCGGAGTGCAAAGGATAAGCCTCGCCCTGGGAAAACCACCTTCTTGATCATGGTATCTCCCCTGCCAGGTAAGTATTGTATTTACTTTTTTTTACAAACAACCTTCCAAGTACTCTCCATTACACTAATACATTTGTCAAACATGTGATTCCATGCGTGGAAACATTTTTTAAACTCATCTGTCTGGATAGCTGACAGCACCTCCCTTGTTTTTGTCTTCACCTCTTCTACGTCATTAAACTGCTGTCCTTTCATGCCCCTTTGCATTCAAAAAAACAAAAAGAAGTCACACGGTGTAAAGTCAGGTGAGTAAGGTGCGTGGAGCAAGAGAGGCAATGTTTTGGGCCAAAAACTGGAGCACTGAGATGGCTGTGTGAGCTGGGGCATAGTCCTGGTGGCAAAACCAGTGGCCCATCTGCCACAAATCAGGCCTTTTATGTCGCACACTGATGAAGTCTTTCCAGAACCTCTAAATAGAAAGCTTGATGAACAGTCCGACCTGGGGGAACAAACTCCAAACACACTAGGAGTCTACGTTTTTGTCCAGTTGGGAAGTTGACAGACATCCAGAACAAGGTTTGTCATCAAGTGACATTTCACCTTTTTTGAAACAAGAAAACCACTCAGACACTTGAATTTTACCCATAGTGCTGTCCTTCTAAGCTGTGTTCAACACCACCACAGTTTCTGTGGCATTTTTCCCAAACAGGAAACAAAATTTCACAGCCTCACAGTTTTCTTAAATTAGCCATCACACAAAATGATGTTCAAGTGAAACTGCGTTCACCAAAAAATTCACTGTGACCAGAGAGGACCTTCCCAGGTGATGCCACTGCGTGCACTAGCTCGGAGCAAGTTGCTTGATGCTCGCCTGGTAGGGACAGCTTGTACTGCAAAAGCTCGGCCCAGTAGAGCTTTTTTTCCAGTTTTTTTTGGGGGACCCCCTTGTCTGTTTTTGAAAAGCTACTCTTAAAAAAGCATAGAAGCTGACCCACATTGAGGAACTATTGTCATCTACAGGCTTGGTACTGCCTGGCCATGATTCTTAGGTACATAGCCATCCTCCGTTTTGTGCAATCCTCCTATGTGTTGCAAATCCTCACTTCTGTGAAGTCCATGAGGCGGGGCTCGATCCACAGGATCAGGATGCACCTCGAGTCAATCTCTTGAAAAGAGATTAAATAAGTGTGCAGAGGGCAGAAAGACCTAACTGCTACCAGAGAGAGGAGCTGGTCACAAAGTACATACTTTGGATCTGGGGCCCCTGTGCTGAGAACCTCCTAGACCCAGGGGATGGATGTTTGATACCAAGACACGGGGAGATCTCCAGTGAACCCCAGGATCACGGATGGTGGAAGGAGACAGGGACCCTCCCCAGAGTCGACAGAGGGAGAAAGCCTTCTGCTAGAACCAACCTTCTGAATTTGGATCTCTAGCCTCCTAAACAGTGAGAGGGTAAGGCTGGAGAATGAGGGGAAAAGGCAGGTAAGTTCACCGAAGGAACTGCGGGCCTGAGACAGGCCTACAAATCCCACCCATCGCCAACACCCAGCTGGATGAAGCAACGGCACATCCCAAACTGCGGGCCTGAGACAGGCCTACAAATCCCACCCATCGCCAACACCCAGCTGGATGAAGCAACGGCACATCCCCAAGCCTCTCCTCAAAACTCCTGTTCTTGTCTACTTTCTCCGTGCTTCCCACCCTGACCTCCACATCAGGAAAAACCCCGGAAGGGTTCATCCACACGATAAGGAAAGGAGTTGGAGGAAATAAGACAAGGGCGTAGAGATTGACGAAGCCCCTGGTTGAGGCCACGCATGTGTATTCTCTCGTGGTTCTGCTACTGCTGGTAATCCTCAGACATTCTGCCCACGTTCGTTAGGAGAGAACTGCCAAACTCTCGGCCTTCACAATAATGATATTCCGGCCCTGTTCCCCCTTACATGGAACGCATTAAATATGTATTAAAGACAGGTGACCCCCAAGCTTTTGCTCTGATTAGCTGTGCGGAGTACAAGTTTCTAATCGAAGCTTGGGGGGGGGGGGATTTAGCATAGCTTTACAGCTCTTGAAAATTGCAATGTATGAATTTCTTGAGAATGTCTCCCTGACTGTCAGAATGTGCACCCAGACAGAAGTGTCCGTTGCCTATGTTTGTCGACGTTTATAATTTAAACCGATACGATGAGGAAGAGCACTAGGAATCTGGAACGGAGGAGGTAGAAGAGAGCTAGTTTGCCAAATCTAGACCCCTGTTTTACAGACAAGGAAACCAGGGCCCAGAGCAGCGGTTCTCAACCTGTGGGTCACGACCCCTTTGGGGTCAAACAACCCTTTCGCAGGGGTTTCCCCATTCATCACAGTAGCAAGATGACAGGGATGAAGTAGCAACGAAAATCATGTTATGGTTGGGGTCACCCCCACATGAGGAACTGTATAAAAGGGTCGCGGCATTGGGAAGATTGAGAACCGCTGGCCTGGAAGAAGGGGTCAGAGTCATTGTCCGCCTCTACTGTGAGCATCGGGCTTCACTCAAGGCAACAGCCCAGCAAACGATTCCAGCTGCTTGATGTGGGGTGGGCTCTGCGTCACCTCTCTTCCCGGAGTTGCTGGTGGGCTCCAACCACCAACCTTCTGCCCAGCACTAACCCCTGTGTGGCCAAGGTCCTGGCTTACTCTACTCTGTACTTGTATGTAGAAATTATGGATGTGGGTTAAAATCTTGCATCTGCCAATTCGCCTGTGATTTGACTTCAGGCAAATCGTCATGGCTTCGCCCCTATGGCACCTGATAGAGAGCCCGTGATACCTATTTCATTGGGTTAGTGTGAAGATTCAGTGGTGTGGCACATGGGACGATCCTCCCATGGTGCTTGTCTTCTGTCACGTGGACCTTTCTGCTCCTTCTCCTGTGTGTCCCCCACCACCCACCACCCCATCCCATTCCAGGACGAGGAAGGGAAAGTGGCCCATTGTTCTAGATTTCTTGAACCAATTGAAGGGGACACTCCCAGCTTCTCTTATGAGAATGCGCCCCAAATTTTTTTGGTAACTTTTTTTAGAAATCAGCGGCTGCGGCAGTTACATACTCTCCTGTCAACTGGAGGGTATTGTGAGTGAAGGGGTGGAGTCTAGCCTGTCCATCGTAGCCCATCACGCCGCTGTGTGGGCGTGGCCCTCTGGTTAGCATTCTGAGAACTTCCTCTTTTTCTCCTGGGAGGCAGACCACTCTCTCTCTCTCTGCTCCACTTTTCTGTTGACAAGTCACATGGCAGCCAGAGCCCTGGAGATGCTTCCATTGCCATTGGAGCCACGGGACGTTCCACCCACCAGCCTGTGATCTTCCTGCATCCGGCATCATTGCATGTGCTGCGTGAGTCTGAAGAGGAATTTATGGGCTAGTATCAGACATAGGGGCTAATATCAGACTTGTAGCCTTGATCTTAACTGGGCTGGGATGTTTTATTGATGCATAATGACTTCTTGATATAAAGTTCTCCCTTACACATATGTGAGTGTCCATTCTGCCCTAACACAGCAACCATTGAACCTTTTGGGGAATGGGGTAATTGATGCATATGTTTATTTCAGCTTCTTATATAAAGACACAGATTATTCTCATTTTGTTTTCATAGTAAATCTGGACAGTGTTACTAACCCACAGTTGCAGGCGAACAAACCACAGTTTGGGATGCCTACGTAGCTTTCCTAAATCTTCCCAAATAATCAGTTCAAGCAATATTTGAGATCAAGTGGATCTTATTCCATATCAATGCCCATTCCAAAGAAATGTGATCAAATAAAATGTGGAAATTATCTAACAAGGTCATTATTATCGAATGCTAGTAAAATTTTACTGAAGTTCATTCAAAAACAGTGATACTAATATATTGACAGGGAGCTTCCAGAGGTTCAGGCTCGATTCAGACGAGGACGTGGAACGAGGGATGTCATTGCTGCTAACAGACGGATACTGGCTGAAAGCAGAGACTAGCAGGAAAAAAGAGTGATGTTTTATTGACAATGCAGTATGTTTTCAATGAATTTTTGAAGCATCCTGGTGTGCCCTCCCTTTGGATGAAGTCTCTTCTTCACCACGCAGAATGCCCTTTTCCAGAGACTGGTCCTGATAACGTGTCTGAAGTAGAGAAGTTTCACAGTCCTTGCTCTTAAGAAGTGCTTCTTTGGGGACAGATGTGTTTCTTCTCTGACAGCCCGTGGTATGCTCAGCAGTCTTCACCGGCATATGTATTCGGGACACACACACACACACACACACACACATATTCAAGATGCACCCAGGAGGGCATCAACTAGGAAACCCATTTCAGCCTTGGTTCTCAGCCATGGCCTTCACACCAGTTTCATATCCCAGTCAACGGTGCTTGTCCTCATGCCTGTGCCCCTCTGCATGGCACAAATAGGTATGATCTCACCTACTAGTCAAAGGCTGGTAGTTCAAACCCACGCAAGGCTGTCCGGGACACCGGGCCAGGTGATCTGCTTCTGAAAGGTCAGAGCCTGGAACACCGTGTGGAGTGGTTCTACTCTGCCGTGAGTTGGAACTGATTCGACAGCAAATAAAAGCACAGGCCTTGGTGAGAGTTGCTTTTCAGTTCGTCTGCAGCGTAGTTGGTGCTGTTACCAGATGCTGGTTCATAGTGGCCCCGTGGACAGAGAAGGAACACTGCCCCATGCCACGCCATCCTCATAACGGTGGTTATCTGCTAGCCTATCGTGGCAGCAGCCACTGTGTCAGGCCTTCTCTTCGAGCGCCTCCCTTTGCACATCATCCTTGACTTCACCGAGCTAGACCAGCCTGGTCTCCCGACAAACATGTGCAAAGCCTGTGAGACAAAGTCTCACCATCCACTCTTCTAAGGAGCGTCGCTCTGGCTTCCTCCAAGACAGATGTAGGCATTCATTCTTCCGGCAGGCCGTGGTTCTGGAACATTCTTCACCAACGCCATCATTCAACGCAGCACTTCTTCGTGGGGCTTCCTCATCCAACGTCCAACGTTCCCAAGCCTGTGAGGTGACTGAAAATACTGTGGCCTGTGGAGTGGCCTCCTT